CCATCCACCTGTATTAGGGAAAAAAGAAAATCAGGGAGGAAAGAATAGCGGGTCAGTGGAGTCTCGTACGAATGAAGCCTGTAAAAATTTAGATTAATTATCATTGTGCGTATCCTGGTTAGTTCACCTACTCCATGCTGGAGGGCGACCCGAAGTTTACGCAGGTCGTTGAAGTTTATTTGAGCGGGGACACAATGTGACAAACAATAAGAGAGACGGTGGTGAGTGCTGACTGGCCTGTTGTGACCCGATCGGTTGCCGAGGCGGCATGTCCGGTCGGGTGCACAGTGAACCATAAACTGGCTTGTTGCCAGAACCTACATGTTTCCGTGGGGCAGACCCATTGCTACGTTTTAGAGTTGAACATAACTTGTTTGTTCACTCGCTTCTGACCCCCACCCCGGCCTCAGCAAACGAGCGACAGAACAAGAATGGCTGGACCATACTTTCAAAGCCGCGACTTACTTTCTACCCGCTGTCACATGTTCACACGATATGCAGCATACACATGCGAATAAACAAACACCAGAGCAATGGGCAGTTGATCGATTGAACGACTAACCGACCGGCGAGATCACCATTCAGAACGGTCAGAAACAAACACACAAGTTAAATTGGATAGAAATTGATGAACGCACTAGTATAGTGACAAATAACTCCAAACAGAACAACAAACAAAAAATATCAAGTGTACGGTGAAACAAAAAATATATTATCCCAGTTATCTTTCAATTTCCCGTATTTAACTGTTTCGTCCTCTTTACACTTTGCTCTATACCTCAATCCACCTATCCCCTATTGTTGTGGCGTTGGCACCATGTTTATTCCCAAGCCGGTGTAAAATATATACAGACAAAGAATTGACCGCTGAAGTGATCCTAATAAACAAATACAGTGATTCACCAGTTATTAATGGTTAATGGTTGTACAAACTGCACTGAACCGAACCAGTTATTTTTGCTCCAGAAACAGGCGGAGAATGTTTGATATGCTCTTCTGATCAGTATTTTTGTGCTGTCCATTGGTGATCGCATGTTTACTCTGATGGGCAGTGAGAAAAACCTCTTGTCTTGTCTCGGCAGAATTGACAGTCAGGGTAGAATGTACCGACGTTCGTCAGACCGGGTGACAATGATACTATTTATAGTGGCATATATTCATTCACACGGTCAAGCAGCGTAAGTGCAACTGCTCACCAGTAGGTAAATCTACTCAGACGATGCAAATAATCTATCTTCATTTACTCCCAATACAACGGGAATAAAGCCAAGGTCTATTCCGTGGGCAGGCAAACAACCTTATCTTGTGATTACACGGGTCATCAAAATGCAAACACGGTTCATCAAACACACCCACACTGTTCTGTCTACCTCAAAGAATGTTCCAATTCAATTAATCCGGCATTTTACGTTCATATAGAAGCTAACGCGCTGAGGCGTAAACAGGGACTGCTCGTGGGCGTGCGCGAACGGACGATGTGAGCTTTGTGGATTAATCGTTGGCTGTACAAATGAGATAAGTCCATTATCACACTATAACGAGATGGGGGTGGAGAGGGGTTGACTCAAAACGAACTCAAGACGAGGTCCCGTCTGCTCTTTGACCCCAAGTGAGCGGACACGGGTGACCTCCCCATCACATTCTGCCACGGGTTAAGAATCCTGATGTCTGAGTCTAGTCTCATTCAACGGGTCTGTCTGTGACAGTGCTTTCATCTTTTCTAAAAGGGCGCAGTTAGAATTCAACTGGAATCAGAATAATGAAGGAACGGCCGTTCTGTTTACTGGCCCGTGAACCCTTTTGATGAGAATTAATGAATTAAGTCTGGACAGGGTGGGGAGCAAAGGAAATCATCGGTTGGACGCTGTGTGCATCTGTGAAGGCATCTGGTCTGCAGGTGTTTCACATTGGCCCCGCTGCGTGCTGAGAGAAGCTCGTGTCAAGCATGCGCTGATGCACAAAGCGCAGGGGCATGAGTTCGCTAGTCAAGTGCATTGTCTCGTTACACATTCACAAGAGCGGGGCCGGGGTCTTATGCCAACTGAGATGCAAGCACGCGTGCCTGAGCGCGCGTTCGCTATGCCGCGGCAACAATAACAATCATGAGTCATCCACAAAGTGAGAGAGCTAGTGCACGCCAGGCTAGCGAGCAAAATGCGCATGGCTTATGTTGTGCATCCATCGCGTATTTGAACAGCTTCGCAAACAAATCCAAAGGATCTCAGATTTGATTATGAAACCTTACACACAGTTATGTAGGTGAAATCAACTGAAAAGGTGACCAAAACTACCTATGAACAGTTTCTAGTCGCATTTAGTCTTCGAAACCAAAGTAATCTAAGTGGTCAGTTCAGTTCAGTTTCTACAACCATTAACCATGAACTATCGTGCGCCGGTATTGGTTGCTGTCTTTTGGCTGCCCATTTGGATGAATATGAGAAAGATAGGAAAGATTGAAATTAGGATCGAAGAGAAAATTTAGGACCTCACTGCACTGATTTTGCAGAGAAATCGACAAGATACACGAACGCCACTGGTTACGACACCCAGCCATATCACTCATTATCTCTAACCAGCGGGTATGATCATACCGAGGTCCCCATCCAGGGAGCCTAACGGGACCCAGACTCCTAGTTAGGGTTTTTATACCCTCAGAAGTGAATTGAATGGCTCTCCCCACTGCAGTGACTAGAATAACAGCCGGAACATTAGAAACATTTCTGACTCAGTGTCCCAAAATGTCCAGAAGCAACATTGAAGTTGAGAGAATCAGGTGAACAAAGTCGTTAAAAACGGTCAAGATTGGGACTCCTATAATGTCATATGCAAAGGTGCTCAACAATTTGAAAGCAAACGTATGATCACTCACTGATGACAGACAGTCTGTCTGAAACTTTTCATTACTTCAACGATTGACGTGGTCGTTTGCTGACTGTGAAATAGTCTGAACACAAAAGAAAATTAGAGTGGACGGAGTTAGAGCGATCGGTTGATTTGCATACGCATGCATTGAATGAGACACACGCACAAAGAACAAGCCACATAAAGCACACGCATCTGCCTGAGACCATAAATATGAACCGCCATCTATCACGACAACCTGAATCGATAGACAAGTACAGCTGACTGACCGAAAAGGCTCAACGCAAAATAACTCAACGAACCGCAAATCTGCGGCCGCTTACCTCTAACTCAATTCACAAGTTGTCTATATTCAGAAGAGCAATATGTTTATGCGGTGTTCCTAAGCGGTTCGCAGAACTGTAAAGTAATTTCGGAATGTGTTATAACAAGCACTTCCTGTTCGGCAGCTCTAGAAGCTAGTTTTTGAAGACTGTTAAATACACTCGTACAATTGTCTATTCATCGACAAGACATTATCCCGGAATGCGATCAAGTCCTAAAAAATTCCGAAGGTGCTCATTCGGTTAGGTTTACACCTACAATCAATTCCAAAACTTTGTAATCTTCAGTTACAATTGAGTTTCTTATTCACAAACAGAAACAAATATAAATTAGTTTCGATTATGGAAATTAGAGTGAACAGCGGAGTAGTTAATCCATGTCAAACTCATTTTCCATAGCAATTTGAGCAAGTCTACTTCCAATCAGAGACCAAAATCAACAGCTGACTACAACACAACATTCATGTCCGTACACACCCTGCCGGCTGAAACGCGAAATGACACGTAAAATTTCGCTTTTGCTATGCGAACTTATGACGAAAATTTCGCGATAAAAACGGGAATTTGCAACAGGCAATTTCACGCTTCTTTTACCGTAACTAAATAATCCTAAGGTGTGCAACGCTGAATTGCCTCTATTGAGGCAAATTTCACTGATTATAATGATCGAATGAAGTCATTTGTCGCGCCCAATAGAGAGCTCTTCAGTCTGACTACATATAGCGGGATTTGAAGAAACTCTTTAACGTTGCGCATGATGTCTGCATTTGTTTCGCAAATCATATACAGCTTTGGAGTTCAGAGGATTAAAATCAACCGAAGGACAAACCCACTTGTGTATATCTACTATTGAAAACAAACTGTAAATTGAAGTCCCTCGGCGATCAAAAAACCCAAATAATATCTAGTGAGATATAGCTTCAATAGGCAAACTAATACACACCATTGCAGAATCATCCTCATTCTTCTGGACCGAATACGGTCAAGCCTTTAGTAAAAGCTTAATTCACATCTTACCACCGTAAGCCTTAATATAGCCGCCGGTGGTAATTCTTTCCTTGCACCTAGTCAAACATTTTTGCATGACCGAACGTCTCAAATAGCCTCTGCCGAGGAAGCTCTACTTAATGCCTTTACGTGGTACAGGTTTTTCCACATCAATGAGAGGATGAAAAGCACAAATCCAGGTACGTAACCGGGTGGGCGAACCATTGGTGGTTCAACTATGGTAGTTGGTTAAAAACCCTGATTAAAAACTGACCAACAGACGTACAAACCACATACCTTCCTGGTTGTGGCATCGGTCATTCGCTGAACTGGGCACTTTGGACATTCGCCCCCATTCAGAGGGTGTATCAATCGGATGAACTAGACATTAGCCTCCAGTGGATTGTGGTTGTCTCACATCGCTTCACTAGCCTGCGGGTTGGGCTTCGGCTAGTCAAATGATCTTGTGAATTCCCCAATTCAGCTTGGGTATTCGACCCACAATAAAATCGTAGACATTCTTCTATAATATACAGGTTATTGTAGTGCTTCGGCAATCTGGACTCAGACGCCTGTGAAATATACTATGTCCCTTTCGTACGATCTGTAAGGAAGCTCCGACGGAAAAAAACGGTTTGCAGGCGAATCCCAATAAATTGGAAGGAATTCAAAAACGCAACAGAATCCTTAGAGGGTCTTGAGTAAAACACTTCATTCAGTTCGACGAACACGTGCGAGAATTCACAACCTTAAGAATTAGCATCTTATAAATATTTTGGTCCAGGAAACAGTACTGATTTTTCAAAAGGAAGCCCAGTATATAAAACATTAAAAAAACAAAGTTGTTTTGAACATACCAGTAACTTTGGCGCCAGACCTCCGTTTGATTTGCTCCGAATGCCTGGAACGGATTACTGTCACTTTGTGACCGCTATGTGCAGGCGAGCTGCAGTTATGTTGTGACAGGCTCAAGTGTTCCAGATACGGAAGAGGCGGTAGATCGTCTTCTGGGGATGGTCGAATCAAAATNCGAATCAAAATCGGAGTCAGCGGACGGGTAGGGGCTGAAGCAGTTTGAACAGGGGCCTTCACTAGTAAGCCAGGAGTGTTGCATTCGGAATTGCTGTTAGCCTTCTCGCATTTTTCGCCAGGTAAAACAGCGGATTCTTCCTTTCGTGGTACTGAAATGGTGAGTGTGGGAATACGGAACATTTCCATTCGGGTCTTTTGTGCGACGGATGGAGCCAGGCGACGATACGCTTTCAGTTTTCGTGGTGGTGTATTGTAAAAAGCGGCTTCTGGTTGAAATAGTCGCCAGCTACAAACACCAGAATCCGTTCTTTGAATTGGTTGGTTCTCCGAGTTAGACAGCGAGAGATTCTTAGATGCCAACGGCTGTCTCACAGAAACATCCGGAGGAAAATTCCAGACTTTGGAAAAGCGCTCTTGATCTCTCCGAATAACGGTTTCAAGCGTTTGTTGAACCAGTGCTTGCGTCGGCTCACAAAATAGCCGTCTGCATACATGCACGGGGCCTGAAAATCCTGGCGCGAGTGACATCTTCCACGGTAGACAGAACAATCAATGATCCAAGGTCCTAGCATTTTCCAGCTTATAAGGGGTAGTCCTTGAATTCTGATTGGTTAAGCAAACTCACACTGCCATTGGCTCCATTCGGCAACGGAATGAGAATATTTTATTCGAACTACTCATCAGTAGTATACGCATGAAGATAAATTTATTCATTCAAGCCAAGAGAGTCAATGCATTGCCAACATGACCTAACGAAGGTGCACATGCGTGGACGAGTTGAAACAGTCTGATCAGCCAGGTAGTATGCTTACGCGTTAAAAGTTAGGTGTCACATTCAACCCTTAAGACAGGTTGAATTCGCACTGTTGATGGTATCTTAAAAGGTCGAAATAGCCGATGAGCTCCTTAACTTTCAGTTCATTTCATTTGCCCCTCAATTTCACAATCAAGTCAACTCACGGTTTCACTAGTTCGCCCTGTAAATCAGAAAGGCTGTTAAAATTTGCTATAAATATTTAATCTACAGAACAGGCATACGTAGACCACTTAACCACTCCAACTGCACCGTGAATATTGCCCATATGGTTTTATCAGTCCCTTCGACTTCATCTCATACGTTGTTACACGGAGAAGTACGGCTCGCAATTACTTATCATCCGCGAAAGACGTTCCATAAATGACTTTAGTGCATGACTTGCGAGATATTTCAGTTCCCTTAGTTTAACTGATCCAACTGCTATTGAACACATCTTAATGCAAATCCTTGCAGTCAACCAACAGTTCCATTTCCTTGTTTTCAAAATACTGCACCTTGCATCGACCCAACCCTCATTGGAGGCTATTCAATTTTGCCACTATTTCTCAATCAAGAACTTGATTTACAGTGGCGAGCATCAAACACGGGGGATATGTGACAGTGAATGAAATCATTTGAACATCATCCCCCAGCAACTGATAGGGTGGAGAACGGGTTTTAATTTTGAAACCATTCTCGTCACTATTATTTGCAGCAATTCGTGAAAGGTCAAGCAAAGAAACTGAGAGATTGAATCTTGATCATTCAAGACCAAGCTGTGGTCATCTCGGTAGAATTGTTCGAAATGAGCTACAACTTTTCGAACTTATTTCCGAAGATATTGTTTATTTTAGTTTCTACCGTCATCCTTTTGAGTTCATCTAATAGAAATGTTCGATCTGGATAAGCGCATACTACTGTCTAAAATAACTATCAATCGTGATCAAAAATAGCCAATTCAATCATAATCATAAACAACGCATAAGGAAAACGGGATCGTCTATATGGTCTCCGACACCACAACGTCCATATGAGAATCAATACACAGAATAAACGGCACTTTATTTTTCATGGAGAGAAACAAAGATTAGATGTACAGATAACTGATAGGAACCACATCGTTTGTCGTTAGTTTACAGGACTTTCGAGGTCTCATTCAAGAGGATGATTTGCATTTGCTTGAACCAATATCTAAGCTGGTCTCCAGAAACCTTACATGACAAATTTACCGCAAGTAAAACCAGCACTGACAAGTATCTTTTGAGGAAAATTCCAAACCTTTCTCGTTCGAGCTATGACCATCATATCCAGCCAATTGTGATTGGTCACTGACACCATATTACTACTACCTAAGTTGTAATCTGATTGTATAAATGAACGAGAGTTGAAACTGCGATGGCCTTATGTTTCCATTTGCATAACTTTATTTTGACTGTTCGCTGACTATAGTCGTCCATGCCATGTTCTCCACCGATACCTTTCGAACCTAGATCCAGTTGTTGAGCGCAAAAAGTGATAGTTTGCGTCGAGTCCTACGTGTCATTGAAAGTTGGGCCAAGGGGAAACACTGTATCCTGTTATCTGTGCTTCTAGTGTCCTGTGGGAGGGAATGATGGTGGAATTGTGTCTTGTGAGATGAAAATGACGATATTCGTTAGTCTACACCAGGCCCTTAGGCCGAGTAACCTCCGATAACTACAGAATACCGACAATTAGGAGATCAGACCCACACTTACGCATTTGCAACGGGCACTGAAAATTATTTGGTCTAGCACTTACGCTCATTTGAAGCAAAGTTGAGAAAGCTACAAGTTTTCTGACTACACTCTTATGATTCATTGGTTTAGATAACCACACACTTCTTTGTCTGGTGAATGTAATTTTTCACACTCGTTCCCACGATCAACTATCTCCTGGAGGTCCGGTTCACCCCAAATGTATACAGCATCAAACTTCCGACAATCGACTCCACTTTTGTGTACCTCTTAAAATTTACACATGCATGCTTTGATATTCGTTCATTATTCATTTAGTGGCTTAAAGTAAACAAAACAACAGAGACCGTAATACATTTTATTCTTGGCTAATTTATATAGATACAGATAGAAAAACCCTGGATTAGGGTTTCGTTCGCAGCACACCTTAGAAAAGAACGCGGAAGACCTTTTAATATCAAAAATAAAGGATCGAATGCACAAAGGAGCTGATAAATACAGGATGCCAAACCCTTTTTCTAAGCCCTCATGAATCCTAACTATGCAAACATTTCTCTAGCTTTACGATAAATGCTTGACTCTACCAGCTGCGCTTTACGGCAGGTTGAGGCACTGTGGTATACGGAGTGTTCTCAAGTTATTTGAACTGCAAGACCTAATGAAATGCAGTTCGCTTGCGAACAAGGCAATGCGGTTCGGACCTCAAGATTAAAACCCTACCACAGCTACCCAACTGTCATGGTACATAGCTTATCTGTTGTGTGACTGGATGCCACGCATATTCTAGATGGGCCATTGCGTTTCGTCATTCAAGTCCCAGGGCTAAGGTTACCGACTACCATGCGTGAACAATAGGTCTTCGAGACTGATCATCATAAAACGGTATGCAAAAAGACTCTTTGCTACTTAATATTTGTCTGTATTTGACAAAGTCTGGTAAAGGTTAGCGACTATTGATATTATGTGACAAAAACAACGATAGCGAAGTCAGTTAAAAGTATTTATTCTCACAGCATGATCAGAATAATCCGAATCAACTGCACCGGTATAAAGTAAAAAACAATAAGCAGCTACAGTGACGGCGATTTGAGTTGATCTGGGGATCGAAGTACGACCTGTTTGCGTGTGAATCCGCCTTCCGTTTCAACGATTAGGTATCGATATTCAAAATCTTTTGATTGGTTCTGAAACACATACAAAAGCATTAGACAGATATAGATAAGATAGTACTATCTCGATGTGACAGGACAGTGACTAACAGCACCTAGTTCATGCTGGTGGGAAAACGTAGAGCACAAATGAAGTCAAGCAGTGGAAAGCCAATCAGAAAGTAATGAAGCCATAATAATCTGATCAGACTTATACACATGTAACTTCTGTGTATTGGAATAGGGACACCGCAACTGCTCTGATAACCAATTGGCCCAAACTGTTATGTCTTCTGGTTTTGCTTGTTGCATCTAAAAGAGGAAAGTGATGAAACGGGAGAGTAGAACATTAGTCAGAACAATTAACCTTGCTCTGCCGTGTGACGGTTCCATTTTTTGTGCTACCCATTTGATTGATCAATGAGGGAGGAGTAGTAGAAAGAAATTAAAGCTAAGAAAACAGACAAAATAAAGATGTAGAAGGCAAGTGAACTAGATCTATGCAGAAAGTGAGTGAATGTGCAACTACCACTGTTTACGACACTCAGTTACACGATTCAGTCTCTCTAACGATCGATTCGACTGATCAATAAATCCCCAAAAGGGAAGCCTAACACGATCAATACGACCGAGTCTCCTGGATAAGGTTTTCATATCCGAACATCCGGTTTTAGTTTGACTAACAATTACCTATCCTTGAAAGTACTGCTCGCCGAGGAAGCCCATGTGATGGCATGAGCAACACACGTCCCATCCACCGCAATCCATGGAGATCAAGTACACAGCGACGTTTACGCGAAACTCTGCGTCTAACATACACATTGCTTATCTGGCTGTCCCAACAGGCTCGCGTAGTGGCACGTCTAACACCGATATTGTCTTTAGTTTTCTTCCGTGACTGCACCAAAACCGCACCATACAGTATAACCGACTCCTCACGGAAAACAGAATATCGCGACCAATACAGTAATGTGGTTCTGCATGAGCACGAAAATGCACTACAAAGAACAACGTTCCAGTACAATTAATCCTTACTAATCTAATGCACTTAGGAACAAGTTATTACACATCTCCGAACACCCCAGTATGGTCGGAATGATTACTCATCCCGAACTCCCCTAGAAACAATTGCAAGTGGTCAAACGTATCAAACAGATAATGCTGCGGCAGTCCTACTCACTGCATTCACGTGGCGGTCAACTTTTGGGAATTTGACCACGCGATGGTTTAAACCAAGTTGTCTATACGATTTTATAATTGTACAAAAATAGATGCAAACAAACTGACATTGTAAAGCTTTCTAACCAAGTCGTACGGAGGACAAAGAGCTAGTTACTGCCCCACCGAGGACTGTAAAACAACACCGGGCAACCACCAAAGATGCTGTGGACCAACCAATCAAGCCTTAAGATACTGGTGTTGTGAAAGGTTGTAGGCGATTCCGAATCGCACTTTGCGTTGGACTGCGATTCATACATACTCCTTTTCTACCTTGAGGCTAATAGTTCGTCCGAGAGACAAATAAAGCTTTATAACCAGTGCTCTCTTGTTCCGTACTCTAGTTCACTAATTGATTGAAGATTCTTTACATTGTATTAATCTCATCATCACTACGAGGCTTCCACCCAGAATGTTTTCANCCCCCCCCCCCCCCCCAAGAGCTGCAGAATCCCGGATCCACTGGCTTTGTTATCTCTACTTTCCTTGAATCAATTGGACACCTACAACCGGATCAGTTCAAAACATTCATCAGTTATCTCGCACCGTAAGTTATTCATTATGCGAGAGATTATTCCGACCATAATGAGACACCTGTATCTATCCTCTAGTTCAGGTTTGATCAGCCGGCATTTTTCGATGATATGCAAA